TTCCAGATTTGGAGTCACGGTTTGAAAGGCCTTCCTCATTCGGAGACTGTGAAGGACTTTGCCTACGTTTTCTTCTAGTTCTTGTAAGGTTTCAGTTTTCTTATATAAAAATGTTTGGAGTTTAGCTGTATGGCATGACATTTAGATCCAGCTCCAATTTTTTCCCAATGACTCTCCAATTGTCTTAATACCGTATTTTTAGAAGCCCATCTTTACCTCACTGATTTGAGATGCCAGCTTTATATGCTAATTTCTGTGTACGGTTAGGTCGATTTCTGGGTGTTTTCTTTTGTGCCGTTGGTTGGGAGGGTCTGTTCATGAGCCAGTGACATGTGGTTTTAGTTATCCAGCTTTATAATATGATTTAATATCTAGAATTGTTGGTCCCCTCTGACTCTTCTACAGTGTCTGTGGACGTTCTTGTTCTTTTTTGATATGTACTTAAGAATCAGCTTTTAAGGTTCCAGAAAGTGAAATTGTTAATATTTTTATTGAGATCATATTACATTTATAAATTAACTTGCAGAGAATTGGCAACTTTATGAGATTGAGTTTTCCTATCAAGGCATATGTTTTGTCTTTCCGTTTGTTCAAGGCTTCTTTTTTTTTTTTTTTTAAAGATTTTATTTATTTATTTGTCAGAGAGAGAGAGAGCACAGGCAGAGGGAAAGAAAAGCAGGCTCCCCACTGAGCAGGGAGCCCGATGTGGGGCTCGATCCCAGGACCCTGGGATCATGACCTGAGCCAAAGGCAGATACTTAACGACTGAGCCACCCAGGCGTCCCTCAAGGCTTCTTTTGAATACTTCACATGGGTTTTGATATGTTTGACATATGGATCGTGCACATTGGGATATATTGCAGAAAGGACTATTCTTCCCCACCCTTCCCTACACCCAGGCCCTTTGCAGTGTGACTTTGTAGCTCCTTCAGTCAAGAGATGGGAGTCATTTCCTGACCTGTGGATTTTAACCAGTAGAATGTGAGGGAAATAACATTGTGCTGTTCTAGACCTAAGCCTCAAGAAGGCCTTGCTGACTTCTGCTCTCATTCTTGGAACCCTGCCCAGCCACCACGTGACCGAGCTCAGGCCAGCCTGCTGGAGAATGAGAGACACGTGGCCAAGTTACCCCTGTATCCCCAGCTAAGAGAAGCAGCGGCTGGCCCCCAGAGGCAGAGCCCTCTAGCTACTGTTAGCCGACACACAGAGGGAGCCCGAGGGAGCCCGGCTGAGCCCAGCCCAGTGACCCACAGAATTGTGAGCTAAATAAGCTTAGTAGTTTCAGGTCACTACCAGGGCAAAACCACCTGGTACCTATAATTCATTTTAAACTTCTTTCTGACTGTTGTATCTTTTTACTAATGTAAATGGGGACTTTTGTAGCAATTAACCAGTGATCTACCAGACTTCTTTGCTTCTCCTCCTGGGCATACTCCTGCCTTCCTTGCAGTTTTGTTCAGCCGTGTGACTTGAGTCTTAACCAGCAGAACATGAGAGAAAGTGAACAGGCCTCTCTACGAGACCATACGACCCCCACTGTGATCCTCTGCCCTGTGTCTTCCTGGGTCCTGTGGCTGGATGTGAGTGTCCAGGGCAGCCTTGGAAACCACTTGGAAGATGAGAAGAGCCCCCGTCCTCCTGGGTCCCTGAATAACTGCAGGGAACAGAGCCCCCCCCCCCCCGCATTCCTGGTCCCCAGCACACCACTGATGATGCTTTATGTGAGTGAGAACTAACCTTCAACTGTGTCAAGCCATGGAAATTAACTAATACAGGGTCATCCCCCCCATCGTATCTTTTTTTTTTAAAGCTCTATTGAGATAGAATTCATGTACCAAAAAATTCACTCTTTTAAAATGTACAGTTCAGTGGTTTTTAATATACTCATAGAACTGTGTCACAATCTCCACTATTTAATTTTAGAACATTTTCATCTCCTCAAAAAGAAACCCCGTACCCACTAGCAGTACACGCCCTATGCCCCTCCTCCAACCCTGGCAACCACAGTCTCGATGGATTTGCCTATTCTGAACATTTCTTATAAATGAATGTATGCAATATGTGGTCATTTTTGGCAAGTGTCTTTCACTTATCATAACGTTTCCCAAGTTTATGTTGTATGCTACTTCATTCCTTTCTATAATATACTCAGTAATGTTCCATTGTATGGATATTACCACATTTTGTTTATCCATACATCAGTTGCCAGATATCCCACTCTTTGGCTATTATGAATAATCCTGCTATGAACATTCATGGATGTTATAGACTAAATTGTGTCCTTCTCCCGCCCCCTGAAAAAGCATGTTGAAGCCCTAACCTCCAATGTGGCTGTATTTGGAGATAGAGCCTTGAGGGAAGTAATTAAGGTTAAATGAGGTCCTAAGGGTGGGGCTCTAATCCAATAGGACTGGTATCCTTCTAAGAGGACGATCTCTCTCTCTCTCTCTCCCTCTCCCCTCCCCCCGCCCGAATATGCACAGAGGAAAGGGCCATGCGAGGACACGGTAAGAAGGTAGCCATCTGCACGTAGGAAGAATGCTTTCACCAGAAACCAGATTTGCCAGCACCTTGATCATGGGCTTCTTGCCTCCAGAACTGTGACCAGATAAATGCCTGTTTTTTTTTAAAGATTTTATTTATTTATTTGACAGAGAGATAGAGAGAGAGAGAACAAGTAGGCAGAGAGGGAGGCAGAGGGAGAGGGAGAAGCAGGCTTCCTGCGGAGCGGGAAGCCCGCTGCGGGGCTTGATCCCAGGACCCCAGGATCATGACCTGAGCCGAAGGCAGCCGCTTAACCGACTGAGCCACCCAGGCGCCCCTAAATGCCTGTTGTTTAAACCACTTCATCTGTGGTTATGGCAGCCCAAGCTGACTAATCTAGTGTACAAGTTTTTGTGTGGCCATGTGTTCTCATTTCCACTGGGGGTATACCTAGGAGTGGAATGAATGGGTCCTATGGTAACTCTATGTTCAACATTTGGAGGAACTGACAGACTTTTCCAAAGCAATGGTACCATTTTATATTCCCACGAGTGGTATAGGAGGGTTGCAATTCCTCCATGTTTTTGCCAACATTTGTTTTTTACTATTCTTCTGCTTATAGATTATAGCTGTGTTAGTGGGCATGAAATGGTAGTAGCTCGTTGTGGTGTTGATTTACATCTTTCTAATGACCAGCGATGTTGAGTATGTTTGGCTGTTTGTGTATCTTCTTTGGAGAAATGTCCACTTGGATCCTTTGCCCATTTTTCAACTGCGTTGTCTTTTTATTACTGAGTTGTAAAAGTTCTTTAGATAGTCTGGATACAAGTCTCTTATCAGACATATGATTTCAAAACTTTTTTCCCGTTTCTGTGGTTGTCTTTTCACTTTCTTGATGGTCCTTTGAAACAAAAGTTTTAAATTTTGGTTGTCTATTTAATCAATTTTTTCTTCTGTTGCTTGTACTTTGGTACAGTATTTGTTAGGTTTTGGTGTTGATTTTATTTTATTTTTCATAAAAAGAATTGGAGAATTCCAAGGTAAACAATATTAGAGATACTTGTTTTTTAAAGGTTTCAAAGCACTGTTTTGTGAAACCATTTGGGCCTGGTGCTTTGGCAGGTGTGGGGAGCGCTGGTCTTCCCTCCTAGCAGGAATTGCCCATTTTAAGTTGCTAAATACATGCGGACTGTTTGGTTGCAATTATGTGTTTTGTAAAGGCAACATTTTTTTTCTGATGGTTTTTGTTGTCTATGGGAAAGTTTGCTGCTCTTTTTCACTTTTTCTAATAGTATCTTTTTAAAAATGTCATTATTATTGAGTATCATTTGTGTATAAAAAAAGGACATCCATTAAAATGTACAATTCAGTGCATCTTGATAGAGGCAGACCTGTAGCTGGGAAAGTACCACCAAAATTAAGATACAGACTGTCTACATCGCTCCCAAAGATTCTTTGTGCCCCTTTCCATTCCATGCTTTCCTTCCTGCTGGACTTGGGAAACCACTGACCTGCTTTTTCACAACAGGTGGATTTGCGCTTTCTAGCATGTTATATACATGGCATCATGTAATATGGACTCTTTTGTGCCTGGCTTCCTTCATTCAGCATGGTCATTGAGATTCATCTCTGTTGGTGTGTGTATCAATAGTTCACTTTTTTATTATTATTATCGTGTAGTACTCCATCACACACACACACACACACACACCACGATTTATACATTTCACCTGCTTAGAGACACCTGAGTTGACTCTGGAGTCAGGTGCCCCGTTGTTGTTGTTGCTATTGTTGTTTTAAACTCGTCATTGAGGAGTACCTGGGTGGTTCAATCGGTTAAGCATCTGCCTTTGGCTCAGGTCATGATCTCAGGGTCCTGGGATGGAGCCCTGCATCGGGCTCCTTGCTCAGCAGGGGTCTGCTTCTCCCTCTCCCTCTGTGCTCTCTCTCTTTCTCATGTAAATACATAAAGTCTTTAAAAATAAAGATAAACTCATCATTGAAAGGGTTGGATTTTGTCAAATCAGTTATTTACACGAGGGCCTTATAGGGGGGATGAGGGTAGGGAGAGCGGTCCAGGCAACTTTCCAGGCTTGCAATCCAAGGACTCCCTGGTCTGATAGCCAAGAACTTTTCCTGCAGATGCAGCACCTCTTTGTAGTGCATCCTTTCTACCTCTCCAAACCCAGTGGGCTTGAGAGGGTTTTAATCCAACCCTGCACCCCCTAGTTCCCTCATGGCCACAGCGCCAAGTGACACCATGCCTGCCTTCCAGGGCAAGCCCCTCATATTTAGAAGGCTTGTTTTTGCTGGTGTTTTCTGAGAATTGTCACCCCTGAGCAATTTCCAGGACTTCTCTTTCCATCTTGCGAGCCCTGTTCAGTCTTGTTCAGTTTAGAGTTCCCACCGATGTTGGGGAAGGGGCATTTCTCTTTCCACTGGAGGGATCCAGGGTCTGTCCCCACCGGGCCCCCGCCCAAGGCCCTGTCCAGCACTCTGTCTTGTTCTCCTTGTAGGACTCAGGGTGGAGTTCATGTTCACGAAGACGGGCTGACAGTGACCTCTCCAGTCCTGATGTGGGTCCAGGTAAGCACAGGGATCCCTGACCCTCTGTTGAGACCAGGTCCTCATTGGGAAATGGAGTCAGCCTGGCTTCTCAGGCTAGACGAATCCTCAGCTGGTGTCAGTACTCCTGAGCCTGAGAGGGCTTGCAGGTCTGTTGCTAGAGCACTTGCAGGCCCTGCCAGGAAGTAGCCGTCTTCAGAATACCGCTTTTCCCGAAACTTTGCCAAACACTCTGCAGGAAGCCCTCTGGCCACCCTTGTACCCTGAGATCCAGACACAGCACTGGCGTCTTAGTGTTCAGGCTCAGATGGACTCCAAGCCAGGCCTGCCTGCTCAGGACCAACAAGAAAGGAAGATGCCTGTTGCCAAACGTGGGTGACCCATGGAGCTGCGGGACCAGGGGCGTGGCCAGTACAGACCAGCATGATAAGGCTGAGTTTGCCTCGGGGGTCCCGAGACACTGAAACTGGAAGCCAGCCAAAGGCAGTGCTCAGTGCGTCTGCCAAAGCTGGTTCAGTCCTCCAATACCTGGTTAAGTAATTCCCTCTCCTAAATTCTTTCTGTTAAGATAACTAGTGTAATTTAAAAAAAAAAAAAAAATTTTTTTTTAATCAACTTGACCCTGACTCATACTGGAGGACTGGGGTAAAGCACAGCTTTCCACCAGACAGGCCAGCGAGAATGGACTTCCTAGGGCTGAGCCAGGCCAAGGGGCAGTGGGGGTGACAGGCAAGAGTCAGTGTCTAGAAGTCCCAGTGATAATGTCAGGGCTTTCGATAGTTTGGGGCCTAGAGAGTCAGACTTGGGGGTGGGGCCACATGATTTCTAATTATGAGCAGCCCCCCAGGATTGGGCCTGTTCTAGCTTTGCCAGTCCCCCCTCCAGCCATGCCCCACTCCCTGCTCAAGGTTTGGCCAGGAGGGCCGAGTTGGCAGCCCATAGCCAGGGCTTCGAGAGGAGCCCTCCCAGCAGAGGGTGGGGATGGTGGTATCAGGTCAAAGCTCCAGCAGCCTGGGGTGACTCTCTAATTCCTGCCCTGAAATCTTAGGGGAGCTCTGGGCAGGCAGCTCCATCTATCCCACACCTGGGGTCTTGCAAGAAAGATTACACCCAGATGGTGGAGGGTAGAATGGGGATTGGGACAAATGGCCACCATCTCTATCTACTCCTTCCAGCCTGGTGCTCCTGGACACACGGAGTCTAGGCCTGGGCCCCTCTCTGATGGGGGCTGTCTACTTTGCTCTTCACCTCTCTGTTGCAGTGAAGTCACACCACTAGTCCAGTGGGTTGAAAATGCAAATAAAAGAAACCACAATTTGATCCACCTTGTTTTTTGTTCTTCCTGAGTGCTTGGAAGTCACAAATTGGAGAAGCAGAATTTGAGGGACCAGTGGTTTCTGATTCCATCTATTTAAGCTATTTTTACCAGGGTTCACCTTTTTATTTGATGGGTGCCTACTTTAATTAATTATTCCAGGGCTTATCTATCCCAAGCCATCAGCTCTTTCGCATCTCCAGGGTAATGGCAAGCACTTGGGTTTTAGTGCTGAGGCCTGTGGGTTTGCATGACTCAGTGGTTCCAGAGAGTCACAGTGGGCTCCGTTTGTCTTCTCAGGCTCTGGATATCATCTTGGAGAGGATGAAGGCTTCGGGCTTCGACTTCTCTCAAGTCCTCGCCCTGTCTGGGGCGGGCCAGGTTTGTCTGTGGCAGCCTCCCTGCAGCGTGCGGGGCAGCCATCGGGCAGGGGTGCGGGGCAGCCATCGGGCAGGGGTGCGGGGCTCCCCTGGAGGAAATGCTGCTTCCTGAGAGCCGCTGCACGCTTTCTGTCATTGGTAAAGACCCCTGCCACTCTTCTACCTTGAGGATGTAGAGCTTGCCTCCTTGCTGAAGGATCTGAGGCGGCTGGGACTGTGAAGCATTATACAGAACAGGATGCTGGGTGAGGAAGAACCAGAGAGAGGTCCTCTAACGGGGTGGAGGAAGCATTTGACGTGCATTTATGATGCCTGTCTGGGAGCACTAGCATTGCTTTTCTGTTTCCAGGAAGTAGAGGCAAAGTCAGAAATTATACTCCTAATGATAGCAGTTTTAGTAGTAGCACTATTAGTAAAAATAATAACAAAACACACTGACTGAGCACTTAGTACAGGCCAGGTGCAGTGCCGAGCGTTTTATGTATACTGTTTTTTTTCTTTTTAGAAAGAGAGAGAGAGATAGTGTGTGTGAACAGGGGAAGGGGCAGAGGGAGAGGGAGAGGGAGAGAGAGTCTCAAGCAGACTCAGCGCCCTGTGCGGAGCCCGACACAGGGCTCACAACCCTTGAGATCACAACCTGAGCCAAAACCAAGAGTTCGCTGCTTAATCAACTGAGCCACCCCGGTGCCTCTTAGGTATACTATTTAACCTAATGGTTACAATGATTTTATGAGGTGGTGTCGGGGTGCAGTTAGCACGGGAGCTCTGGGTCTGCTGCCTGGCTCTGTCCCCAGGCCCGCCATTTAAAAGCAGTGTCATCGAACTTTCTGGTGACTCTGTGCCCTCATCTGCCTTAGGGTCGATGTGAATGTTAAATACATAGTGCATAAAAACTTCATTTAAGTTTTAGCTACTGTCTTTAATATCATTGCCATTTACATGGGGACACTGAGGCACAGAGGGGTGATGTCACTTACCCAAGGTCACACAGCTGCCTGGAGGAGGAGTCAGGACCCAAGTTGAATCTTACCATCTGAATCACTTCGCTCCATGGTGGATTAGCCTGCTTTCACATCCTTGTTAGAGAGCGCTAACTAATTTTTCTGAAGCCACCTCTTCTCCCCTACCCTCCAACCTAACAGGAATTTAACGCTCCTGTCCTTGTTAAACAGAAACAGATTCCCTGGGGGATCTCGTCCACCTCTCTCATCTGAACCCCAGGCTGGGATACCCTCTCCCTCCTGGGCATCCCCCAACCCCATGGCCAGGTGTCCCAAGAACACCTCCAGCTTACCATGTGCTAGACTGAGTGCTCCATCTTTCCCCAGGGCCACAACCTGTCATCCTCGAACCCACGTCCAAGGGGTCCCCATGCCCTGTTGATTTGTTACATGACTTTTAAATCTGTCACACCTCTTCTCCAATCCTCCTCTTTTGCCGCAGGCTGAATATCTGTGATTTTTCTCTGGTCCTCTGCTTGGGCCTCCCGGCCTCCCACATACCTTCTCTGTGACTCCCCCAAACCCTTTCATACATTCAGCCCTGGCCATGTCACTCCCCTGCTAATCCAGAGTTCCCACACCTCCAAGATAAGCCCCCACCTCCTGAGCATGTATGTCCAGGCCCTGGTGCTCAGGATGCCACCTCCCCCTCCAGCCCTCACCACTGCCCTCCCGCCCGAGACTCAGCCCCCTGTGTGGAATACCACCACTCTCCACACCTGCCAGGCTCTCTCAGCTGCGCTTGCTCTCTGCGTGGAGCACCCACACACTCAACTCCAGCTCCTTCCCTGCTAATAATGTCCTTTCTACCAGCTCGTTCGATGCCCCTCCTCTGTGTCCCCACTGCCCTGCCACTGCACATCCATAGGGTTTTGTAATTGTGTGTTTGTGTCTTTCTCCCTGACTCAAAGACAATATCGTAGAGAACAGGGACAGTACTATTCTATTCATCTGTCCCCTCACCTGGCACGATCTAAGTGCTCAGGAAATGTTTGTTGAATGAATGAATGGGTAACTGAATAAAGGAATGAATTTCAGGTAATATGAGCAATATATTTAAATACAATTTTACAAGGATACCAAAATCCAAACCACTAATTCTTTCTTGGACCCTTCCTATAAGTTTTGAGGTGGACAGGGCAGAGTTCTCATTTTCTAGAGGTGAAAACCAAGTCTCAGAAAGGGGATGAGTTCTGTGAGTAAAAAATGGCAGGGGCAGGCTTAGAGCCAGTTCTTTGGGGTGTGGTCTGGAGTCTTTCTCTGTCTCTGGGAGGTGATCCCAGTGTGTGGCCGTGTGAACGTGTGCTTGGGTTTTGCCTTGACAGCAACATGGAAGTGTATACTGGAAGGCTGGGGCCAGCCGGGTGCTGACAAGCCTGTCACCAGACCTCCTATTACATAAGCAGCTACAGGTAACCGAGGGGAGAAGGACCCAAGCCTTTACGGGCCTGGAAGTCTGGGGCTTTTGGGCATTGTCAAGGGTATAAGAACTTGGCTTGGCCGTAGTGTGGTGAACATGGTCTGCCCTGCCTCCAGGTGGAAATAGCTGGTGTCTGGACAGAGGATCGGGTGCATAGCCCTCCTCACGGGTCCCTTCCTGCCAGGCATGGCTCTGGCTAGTTTCCCCCTCAGAGATCTCTCCTTGGGGCATGATGTCTCCTGGTGGTGCTGGGAAGGCAGGCTCTGTCTTCTCCATGGTTCCGGGCTGCAAAGGCCCCTGGGAAACTGCACTTTGCTGCAGTTCTAGCCCTCCCCAGCTCATCCCCAGTGTTGCCCGTGGTGCTCAGATGTCCTCATCAGAACCTTCTCCCTTGAGCTTTCTGGGGAGAGACGCCACTGGGCCAGGCCGAGGTTTGGGCTGGAAGGGCTTGCCCCTGGGTCTTCCAAGGTCACGTCCAGGGAGGAGGTGCCTACACCTGCTGTGATTGGCCGTGGAACCGCCAGACCCAGGGCGGCTCCCAGAGTCAGCAGGCAGAATTCAAACCTGTGCCTTCGTTCCTCCTTTCCAGGCCTGTTTCTCCATCAGGGACAGCCCGGTGTGGATGGACTCCAGCACCACAGCCCAATGCCGTGGGCTGGAGGCCGCTGTGGGCGGGGCCCAGGCTCTCAGCTGCCTCACTGGCTCCCGTGCCTATGAGGTGCGCAGCGCCCGCCAGGGGCTGGGGGCTGGGGGCTGGGGGCTGGGTTTGGCCCCGGGAGGAAAGTCCTGTTGCTGGCTCTGGTCCCTTGTCCCTGGGTGTCTGGGAGGACACAGCTGGTGACCTGCCCCAGTGGGGATCACATGAGGCCCTGTGGGTGTCGCCCTGCAGAGCCAGGATTGGGCACTCTGGCCCCCGATAATGCTCAAGGCTGTCCTGCCTCCTTCTGCTGCCCACGAGCAAGGATGCGCCTCCCGTTGCCCAGCGGGGAGCTGAGGTGTGACCCTGGCTATGCTCTGTGCGGGGTCATGATGTCACCTCCACGTCAGCCTCTAACCTGGGATACAAATAGCACTTACACTTCAGGCAGTTTTGAAGCTGAAAGGAGTGAATGTATGCAAGGCCCTTAGTACAGCTCCTGGAAAAGTTAAAAAAAAAAAAAAAAAGAATGCCTCTTTCCCACTGGCTTCGGCCACCGTTACAGGGCTGGCTGCGATTGGCCCAGCTTGGGTCATGTGACCCTTCTTGGGCCACCGGCCTTAAAAACAACAGGGAGGGGTGGGGAGCGGACCTGCGTCTTCTGCGCCGGGGCCCTTGGTCTGCACGGTCACTGTGCCGGGTGAGGAGCAAGGCTTATTCACTAAGGGTGTTCAGCCGACATTTCTAGATTTGAGGCCTTTGTAAAGCTTTCACGACACAAACTCATGTACAGAGCATGCTATGCCAGCCTCAAGTTCTAGAGATGATCATTGCATGTAGGAGTTGGGTTTTTAAGAATTTGCAGTCTTTTTCCAGCGTTTTACAGGAAACCAAATTGCAAAGATTTACCAGCAGAATCCCGAGGCCTACTCACAGACAGAGGTTGGTGAAACGTTCCTATTTGATTTAAGTCACAGTTGAATTTCTTTTATAATACTTACCTTTAGCATAAATACATCTTGTGTGCACTGGCCAAAAACATCGATTAGCAGACATTAGAAATGGTATATATCCAGTTTGCTTTTTTCTCACTGGCAAGCCATTTCCAAAGAGGAGGGAGAGAATGGAATTGTGGGAAAGAGAAGTCAGGGCCTCTCCTGACCAGGTGGGGCGGAGGTCAGGGGCAGAGGTTAAGGGCAGGGTGGGAGCTGTGGGGATTGGTGTCTTCCTGGGGCCACCTGAGTCGTTGGTCTGGGTGCCTGCTAGTGTCTGCCCCCTCAGTTTCCTGCATGGTTAGCGCAGGATGGCTACCAGGCTCTTGATGGGCGTGGACTCGATGTTTTCTTTGGAAATGGGGAAAGCTGGACCCATGTGTCCCCACCATGGCCCTTCAGCCAGAGCCTGTGTCCCAGGAGCTCAGATTCGGTCCTTCATCCACAGGTGCTGCAAGCCAGCTCTTAATGCCACCTGGGAAGCAGCTCCACAACTTGGCTAGTGATTTTCATCTCTGGATCATTAGAAAATGATCAGCGCATGTTAAACCAGAGTGCCTTTTTAATCTTGGGCATTAACAACATCCCTTTTATTACATGACGACTCAAGGTTCCAGATTACTCTGCGGCATTAGCCGTGCAGATTTCCGGGGCGGGGGTGGGTAAGGGCAGAGATGAAAAACCCTCTCCACACTCTGTGTATGGAACAAAGGTGGCCTGAGCGGGGGACAGGAGGTGCTGGCATTCTCTGCTGTGGTCCAAGGGCCCCTGAGTCCCATGTGGAAGCACGGACCCTCAGGGGGATATTTGAAATCCGTTATCAGTTTCTCCAGCTCATGCCTGGGCTCTGGTGCTTCTGAGGGGCCGACTCACTCATATTTATTCTGAACCCCTGAGAGTATCTTTGTTGGTTCTGAATCCTGTGGCCACACATCCCATTTCCCTTGAGACTAGCTATAAAGACCACAGAAACGGAGGAAGGAAATCAGGCACCACGCTCCCTGGATGCCGGGAAGAAAAGCCACTTCCTTAAGCATGGCTTTTTCCTAGGCCTTGTTGCTCTTTTCTCTTTGTTGGACTTGATAGTTTTCTGGCCCGTCAGAAACTGCAGAGTGAGGTAGGTGCTCTCCCAAGGACTCAGTTCTTGGTGTTCCAGATACTCCAATGCTTTAGAATCCAGGATACTCAGTCACCGCCATTACTGGGGCATCTCACTCAATGTTTCCGCTTCCCTCCCCAGTTTAAAACTCTTCTCGGGTGGTGCATACCATAGTATTCAGTTGCTTATGGAAATGAGGCCTATCTCACTGTGTTTCTCTCTTTCACAGAGAATTTCTTTGGTCAGTAGTTTTGCTGCTTCCCTCTTCCTTGGGTCTTATGCCCCTATCGACTACAGTGATGGTAAGCCTTCAGAGTCCTGGGGGGTGTGCCTGTTCAGTATGGACGTGCATGCCTGTGGGTGGTGTGGGCCTCATCCCCCTGGGTGGGTGCCAGACTTCTAGCCCTTTCATATTTTGCCATGAAGGGAGTGTATTAGTTATCTTTTGCTGTGTAACGAATGACCCCAGTGCTTAGCAGCTAAAGACAACAACTGTTTAATTTTTTTTGTCTAATGCACTGCTTAGCAGAGTAGGAACTTTATTTTTTAAATATTTTATTTATTTATTTGAGAGAGAGAGAGGGAGAGCATGAGTGCGGGCAGGGGCAGAGGGAGAAGCAGACTCCCCACTGAGCAGGGAGCTTGATGTGGGGCTTGTTCCCAGGATCCTAAGATCATGACCTGAGCCGAAGGTAGACGCTTAACCGACTGAGCCACCCAGGCGCCCTGACCACAAGTGTTTATTATCTTACAGAATTTCTTCAGGTCTGTAATCTGGGAGCAGCTGAGCTGGGTGGTGCTGGCTCAGGAGCTCTCATGAGGTGGCATTCAAGCTGGCAACCAGGACCAGCCATCAAAAGGCTCGACTGGGGCTGGAGGATCCACTTCCAGACCTCTTAGCCAGAGGCCTCACTCCCTCACCATGTGGGCCTCCCATAGGACACCAATGACACTGGAGCTGGATCCGCCCCCCCGCCCCGAGTGAGGGATGAGAGGAGAGGGCGGCCAAGCAGAGGCCGCAGAATCTTTTACACCTTAACCTTGGAAGTGACATGCCATCCCTTGTGGCCCACCCTACTGGTCACACAGACCTACCCAGGTACAGGAAGGCAGGGACCTCATTAGGTGTGAACAGCAGAGCTTGGCGATGAGCATGAGCCATCTTGGAGCCTGGCTCCCACAAGGAGTTGTTTCTTGAAGTTGTGTTCACATTTGGAGAACTCAAGGGAGTGGTGAGTTTCTGGAGTCAATGCCTTGCCAAAAATTAGTGTAAGCGATGCCAGTGAGGAAGGAGAGCTGGGAGGAGGCTGCCAAAGGCACTTTTGCATGAGGCCAAGCTAGAAGGCCTGTGAAGCGCAGAGGGGAGCCGAGTGCAGAGCGAGAGCCCGGACCTATTCGCGTGGCTTCGGAAGAGTCTCGGAATGCTCAGAGCCTCCTGGGAATCCATCTGGAGTTGTCCGAGTGCTGTCGTATGCCACATATTATTCTAGCGTTCAGGGAGAGAAAGTAAGGTGCCCAAGCAGTGGTCCCCCAGCTTCACTCACAATCTGGAGAAGAAAGGACTCCTACAGGTAGCTCCACACAAGTCAGGCCAGCAGAGCCCTAAGCCTGGAATAGCCCGTGTCCACCCCGGGGCTATGAAGTGCTGCTGGGAAACGTCATGGCCCCGCTCCTGTGGGCATTCCAAAGTTCGGGTTCTACAGCCTTGGCTAGGCCCTCCGCTCCGCTCTCCTCACTCACCTGAGAAGTCACCCCCTGATTCCCAGCCGTCTCACCTCCTCACCTGGGTGCGTGACGCCATCAGCATCCCGGCCGACAGCTGTCTGCCTCCACCTGGGCCCAGTGGGGGAGGAAGAGGAGAGCCGTCCTCCTGTGCTCTGGCTTCTCTCCCCTTTGCCATCCTCAGGAAAGCCTTGGGAGACGTAGATTGTTTTCAGACACACTTCGTGAGCTGATCTCGGTGATTTCTTTAAAAGTTAGATGTGATTGGGGAAGCCTGAGGACTGACCCACATCGGCACGGGACCCTCTGAGCAGACCCCTTGAACCCCAGGGGACGCGGAGAACAGTTCCTCGTCAGTGTAGTGTCGGGTCTTAGGACTGCAGATTCCCAGGCTGACGTGAGGACTATTTGGAGGAGGTGGTGGGGCCATGTGTTTCTGAGGGCCCTGCTGACCTCTGGTTCTCTGGCCCTCTAGTTGCATAATGAGCCAGGCACACTGTATCCATTCCGTTGGGAAAGAGCTCCAGGTCCGGGTTTGCTGCAAGAGACAGTCGGCTTTCTGCCAGCTGGGTGCATGTCCACAACAGGTCCTTTTCAGAGATGTTTCTGTTTCTTGTTTCCTTCATTCCTTAGGTTCTGGAATGAATTTGTTGCAGATCCAGGACAAAGTCTGGTCGCAGGTTTGCCTTGGCGCGTGTGCGCCTCATTTAGAGGAGAAGCTTGGCACACCCGTACCGTCGTGCTCCGTGGTGGTAGGTCCCCTTGCTGGTGACGTGCCTCGTTTCAGAGCTGGCAGCTACTGGGCCGAGCAGTGCAGAACACACACACACACAGTCACCCTCATTCATTTATTTACACACAGGCGTACACACTCGGGATTGTCAGGCTAGTATGAGAGGGGTTTGACGTACATCAAAGCCAAACGCCTGGATCGGTGCCTTGCATTTAGCAGGTGCTCAGGTGCATGTACGGATGACTGCCTCATGGTGGTGAGGTGTGCGGTAAGGGGGACCTTGGAAAATTCCACTAGAAATTTATTAGAACAGGAAGAAAAGTGGAAAATATAAGTGGTGGGTGATTGCACACTTTAGGAAAAAATGCACAGAATGTTGACATTCTAGGGCTAGGAACCACCTCTGAAGCTTGAAGCAGGCAGTCTGGAGAAAACAGAAAGAAATACGAACGAGCTGGGGAGAGCGCAGGCTCTGGTGCCAGGTTGCCTGGGCTGGAACCCTGCCTCGGCCACTCACTGACTCTGTGACTTTAATCTGTGCCTCAGTTTCCCCATCATTTCCATCTTTCCCGAAACATGGGAACAGTGATACTTTCTATGTCATCAGGCCGTTGTGCAGAAGAAATGAGTTGATGCATTTAAAGTGCTTAAGATAGAGGCGCCTGCCTAGCTCAGTCGGTAGAGCATGCTTCTCTTGATCTCGGGGTTGTGAGTTTGAGCCCCACACTGGGTGTAGAGATTACTTAAAAATAAGGCCTTTAAAAAATTTTTTAAAAAAGAATAAAAACAGAGGGGCGCCTGGGTGGCTCAGTTGGTTAAGCGACTGCCTTCAGCTCAGGTCATGATCCTGGAGTCCCGGGGTCGAGTCCCGCATCGGGCTCCCTGCTCTGCAGGGAGTCTGCTCCTCCCTCTGACCCTCCCCCCTCTCATGTGCTCTCTGTCTTTCTCATTCTGTCTCAAATAAATAAATAAAATCTTTAAAAAAAAAAATTAAAAAATAAATAAAAAAGGATAAAAACAGATAAAGTGTTTAAGATAATGCCTGGTCCCAAGGGTAATATTAAAAACATTTAGGGCAGCCACATGCAAAAGAATGAAATTGGGCCGCTAACTTACACCATATGCAAAAATTAACTGAAAATGGATTAAAGACTTGAATGTAAGACCTGAAACCATAAAACTCCTAGAAGAAAACAGGCGTTGGTGATGATTTTTTGGGTTTGACACCACAAGCAAAGGCAAGAAAAGGAAAAATCAACAAATGGAACCTCATCAAATTTAAAAGCTTCTGCACAGCAAGGGAAACCATCAATAAAACAAAAAGGCAACCTATGGAATGGGAGAAAATATTTAAAAATCATATATGTGACAAGGAGTTAGTATCCAAAATATATAAAGAACTCAACTCCATAGCAAAAGAGGCAAAACAGCATGGCACCCCCATTCAGAATGGACACTGGTGTCCCCTAGTTAACTTACGTTCGTGGCTGTTCTGTGGGGAGGATGGAGTAGAGGGAGACCTGGGCCCTGCCCTTAGGGGCCCTTTGGTGGGAGCACATGCCAGACATTGAGAAGAGAGAGAATTCTAGGTGGTTCTGAGAGCTGGTGGGAAGGAAGCAGAAGGTCCCTGAGGCCCGCTCATGCTGCCCGTTCCAAGTCCCAGCCACTTTTTGGAGATCAATTCCGACGCACAGAGCTTAGGGAGGGGTGTCCCCAGCCTTGGAGGGGAGTTCAAGGGACAGTTCAGGACCCAGGCCCGCTGAAGCCCAGCAGAAAGAATAAGGAAGGGCAAACAGGAAACTAAACGGCCAAGCCTTTGGGATTGGTATTCCATGCACGGCTTCTGGTTTTGTGTGAGCTGGAGAGCAGTGTTTGGTCCATGGCAGCAGGCTTTGTTTGCCTTATGACAGGAACGCATGCCTCCAGGAGGGAGCCCGTGCACAGACTAGCAGCTTGAGGAGCGGAAAAGAACTGATTCTGAAAAGGGTATTTTCCTTTGTAACATATGTACCCACGTGACGGGGGAAAACAAGCCGAATCCATGTTTCCCATCATCCCTTCTTCTGCAGGTAGTGCCCAGACAGCTTACTCATTTTCTGCAGGCAAGTATTTGGGACATATGGTATCAGACGCTTCTCCAGCCCCGGCTCGCAGCCTCCTAAGCCGCCTCTTTTGCCAGCAGCTGTGGCTTCATGCAGGTGTCACCCGGCAGTACCCTGCCCCAGCTCTATCTCATTTCTCTCACTTTCTGCCCGCGGCTTCTGTGACTCCATGTTTGCACCGTGCAAACCTGGAGGTCCAGGAAGTTAAAACCCCACGGGGCACCCCTCACCAGTGGAAGCCTGTGGAGAGCTGCTCCCCGTCCCATCCCCAGGTGGACAGCCCCCAGATCCTTCACACACAGCTCCTCGGACATTGCCCACAGCGAGGACCAGCTTGACAGTTTAACCTTTGGGTGGGCTCTCCTTCCTCCCCAGTTCCCCTCTTTTTTTTTTTTTTTTAAGATTTTATTTATTTATTTGAGAGAGAGAGAATGAGAGAGAGCACATGAGAGGGGGGAGGGTCAGAGGGAGAA